GATGCTAATAATTAAATAAATATTTTACCAAAAATTTTAAGATAATCCATTGAAAAATATCGCACCGACTTTTAATTCCCCATTTTATTTCACATTAGACCTTCTTTTTATCTTTCTTTCAAGCGGCATAAAAAAAACCCTCAAATATTTTATCACCCCCTCATCTCTTCCCCCCACATTTATTCACTTTTGGCCACATCAACTAACTTCAACAAATGGTTTTATTTCATCTTAATCCAAAAGCCATTGTAACCCTATTTTGCACTTTTTAAAAACGCTTTTGAATTGAGTTAAAATAAAATAATTTGTTAGGGCTAATTTTTGTGGCCAAAAATCACTAAACGTGAGATAGATAAGATTGGGGCTTTTGGATTGAGATAGAATAAAATAATTTGTTGGAGCTAGTTTTTGTGGCAAAAAATCAATAAAAGAGATGAAGGGATACGGTGAAATACTTAGGTTTTTTTCATGATGCTTGAAAGAAAAAAAAAAAAAAAATCTACCGTTTTTGTGCGGCTTGAAAGAAAAAAGTTTTTTTATGCCACTTGAAAGAAAAATAAAAAAAGGATCTACCGTTTTTTTGCTGCTTGAAATAAAAATAAAAAGATGATCTACCATGAAATTAAAATTAAAGGTCTTGAAAATTTTCCTTGATCCACTCCTAAGCTAAAACCCATGTCCTCATGCAATCACGATGTTCATGCGAATTGAGATTGTCTAGCGAAATTCAAGGACACAGCTTCTCTCATAAGAAGGATGTTCGAGGGAGACAAATCTGAACAGGTGCATCTGCGGACGCGCAGAACGCTATTTTCTCTAATGCCCTTTCTCCACACGTTACAAAGTCTCGCATTCGCTTTTGAGACGCAGTGTTCGGAGAGAGACGCATAGAACTGACCAATGAGAGAACGGTCACATGTAATAACATTCAATAGAAAATCGCCACGTGTACGGGACACGTCTTCCCTTAGAAAAGTCTAGACGCTCGGAACCCTAAAACCCTTAATCATTCAATTCCCACGTACTTCAAAAACGAAACAGCGGGCTATTTTGGTAACCCATATTTTTTAATAATCCACCCCAAACTTAAAAGGGCAAAGTTTATAGTATTAGATGGGAAGTTTATAGTATTTCCACCCACTTTTTGAGTGGAGACATAAAAATATGGAAATAAACAACGTTTTGCGGCTAAGCAAGGTTAAAAGACATTTAAATGAGGCCACGATTCCCGATCACTCATACATTTGCTTTTCGCACCCAACCCAAAAGTCCTAAATGGGCAAAGGAACCCTAGTGACATTTATGGTTAATAATTTGAATTTTTTTTAATTTTCTCGTGATAAATGGCGGGCGGGATATATGCCCGTCCCAAGTCAAAATAAGACAGATATATTAGGTTGGTGGTCAACATAAAATTTTTATCATATTTATTTCATAAATCCTAATAGCCGAACCGATTATGCTGATGAATCAAGGGCAAATAATTTATTGAATAGGATCACAATAAAGTGAAATTATCAAGATAATATAGGCATCACTGATATTATCTTGATACATTTTCTCAATATCTCAATAATTACGTTAGACAACGATAATTTTGAATATTAAATTTGATGAAAAACTCAAATAAAAGATCACTTTCTAATCAGTAACATGGTTATCTAAAAAGTAACAAAATTCTATCATTTTATTGCTTTTGAACACTAACATTTTTAAAAACCTTAAATATATCTTAAAATTAAAAATTATAAAAACTAGCGGTCTCACTTAAGAAATGCTTTAAATTTCTATATCTAATTAGGTGGGCTGACCATATGCAGTACAAACCTAGTATAGCACGACTTAGGAGGTATGAGTTGGTTCTAATGGAAGGCTCAGAAAGGACAAAAGTTAAATTCAAAAGAACATGGTTGAAAGTAGTGAGAAAAAAACATGAGAACTTATGGACTCCTTAAAAGTATGGCATTTGATACAGCAGAATAGCAAACCAATATTCATATAACCGATCCCAAATAGTTGAAAAAAAAAGCTTTAATGATCATCTAAATAAAGTAAGATTTTAAAAAATTGATTAAGAAAAACACTCTTATAAAAAAAATTCATATCTATTCTATGACGAATAATGAAATATAAGTTCCATCCATTAACTTTCTAATAAAATTCCTTACCAACCGATAATAATCTTCTTCTGTTTTTTGGTGCGGTTTATTATAAACTCTAAATACTGCAGAAAACTCTCTTTTTGTTAATTACTTAAGAATATATAAGACCCATATAAATATTTGGGTAGTAACAGCTCTAGATAAAAACCAATAGTTCTAGATAGATACCAACAATTATTGATAATACGGCTAGTAACAGTTTTGAATAGATATACCAATCGTTATTGATAATTACAAACTGATTTTGAGATCGTTATTGACACCTCTTCACGTGACTGGGTGACCAATAGAAGCAATAGTCTCTTGCTTGAACAAGAAGCACTGAATAGCACTTCACATAATGGCACTTGGAGGAGCCAACAGAACTCACTGTGCATCTTAGACAGATTCAGCAACTTGCAGTCCGAGACAAATTTAGCAACTCACAGTCCAGAACATATACCAGAACAGAGACAAAAGTTATTTTGCAGGGAGTCAAAATTCAGCAGATAGTCGAAACACGACTCGAAGGCCTTTAGCAGTGCTTCCTTGATCTATGAGTTTCTCTCACTAAACTGAGAGTGGTGATTGATTCAACCATGGGAGAAGAGGAGAGCTGATTCAAGAGGTCTCCAAGAGGTCTAGATGTATGTAGTCGTTTGAGAGATGATCGTGGAAGGAACGAATCTGAAGCCGAGCTTAGATCCGGCAACCTCAAATCTGATTTCACACCTCATATATGAGGTTGAGGAGCCTACGGCTTTGATACGATATTAGAAACTCGAAATACTGCAGAGAACTCTCTCTCTATTAATTAAATCCGACAACCTCGTATCTAAGTCTTTACTAATTAAATCTAGCAACCTTATATCTGAGTCTGAGGTCCTCAGATATGAGGTTAAGGAGTCTATGGCTTTGATACCATATTCTTAAAAATTCATAATACGGCAAAAAAAACTCTCTCTCTCTCTCTCTACTAATTAATTAAGAATATACAAGACCCGTAAAAATATACCGTTAGTAACAACTCTATCTTTACTAATTAATTAAGAATATACAAGACCTGTATACATATATGGCTAGTAAAAGCCCAACAATTTAATTAAGAATATACAAGACTATACATGACCTGTATAAATATACGGCTAATAATAGCCCAACAATTATTGACAATACGAGTAACATTTTCTGGATAGATACCAACAGTTATTCATAATTACTAACTAATATTAAGATCTTTATTGACACCTAATCTTATTAAGAGATATATACCAATATAGATACACAGATATATATTCATAATGATGTATATCAATATATATCAATATAGATATCTATAGGCTTAACACGGTTTGTATAAAGCCAAGGCTCTAAACAATCAAATTAGAGCCTACCTTCAAATAGTGTCAAAAAATGTAGTTTCAATATTATAAATCTTTGTGATAGCTTTAAAATATATTTTTATAATTATTTATAAAATTTAAAGCTTAAAAAATAGTGTCGATAGACAAATCTATAAAAACTTGAAATTCTTGAAAATTGATAGTCTAAAAGTACGTTATAAAATGTACTATTTCCAAAACTTGAAATCCATTTTTTTTTCATGTCCATTTTTTTTTATCTTAAGATGATCAATTTGAAGATATTTGGGCATTAAAACATTCTCTTTTAGTAAAATTTTTGAGGTAGGCGCAAAATTGATTGGTTAGAGCTTGTTCTATATAAATTTTTCCTTTTTTTGGATGAGTAAGGATCTTATATGACCCTCCCTCACTCATGTGTGTAGGACCACAAATGATCAATTTTAATTTAATGGTGATCTTTTAAGATCCTACATACACTAGTGAAAGGAGGACCTATATGATTATTCCTCTTTTTGGATAATAATCTTTGATAAAAAGTAATTGTCACCAAATTTGGTACACGGAATTGACACACTTATTGGGTGAACATACCAAAAATATGGGATGGGAATAGTGGTCCCCATATGGCAAAAAATATCTTAACAGGCAGGCCCGCACACGCGTTGTTCGCACGTCTCGTGCGGCGGGTCCGTAGGGACCCCGTACCCAACGCCTATGACGGATCCCTAACGGAACCTCGCGTGCTTCAAGAACATTGACCTTATCTATCCTCGCTCTTTTTACAATGACAAAATCTAGTACCAAATGCTGCGAGTGTAGATGATCTTCGCTATGAAATTATAAAAATAATTGAAACTATGTTGGTTGTTGGAACTTTGGAACAAGGACATTGTCCTTACTTGCCATGATATTATTATTTTCGGGAATTTATGTTATAACGACATATGAGGATTTGGGCAGCCATTTTCGCTTGTTGAAAAAAAAGGCTCCGATAGTTGAATGACAGATAAAGATTCGTGTAACCGATTTTAATTAGTTAGAAAAAAAATTCTGACAATGATAATAACAATGGTAATGTTCGTATTAGAGTATAATGTAAATTTGATATATCGAGTAAAATTAAAATTAAATATTAATAAGTGACGTAATATATTGCTAATTGCTAAAGGTGATTGTGATGACATTAGAGTCAATCCTACTGTATATTTTTATATTATTTAATATATTTTAAAATATTTAATAAGAATGAGAAAGTGAGATCCCTAAGAAAAAAAAAAAAAGTAATAAAAAGTTTAAGAGTGTTGATGTCCTTTTGGCATCCTAATCAACTTACACAATAATTTTTGGCACTTTCGAGAAATAAAAGCATTAGCGCACATGCACATAGTAAATGTGGTATGGACCCTTGCGGAGAAGGTTATAAGGAAAGGAAAGGTTAGGTCCTCACTTTCTTTATTAATAAAATGACCTACCTGTTTGGTGCATATGTCTTCACACGGGGGCAACTTGGATATTTGGAATTGAAGGGGTTTTATGAGGTATGGGCATTTTAGTAAATTTAAGGCCAGTCAGAAACGACGGTTCCTTAAAGAGCGTGGCATCGTCGAAGTAATTTTCGCTGGAGGAGTCAGAAACGGCGGTGCTGCGACCGATCTGTGGTTTTCAATTTACGGGCGGAGGCTGCCTGCCTGCCTCTCTTGCCTTTTTATCCTTTCTCTCTCCTTCTTTACCAAAATCTTGCCCTCTTTTTTTCTTCGTCTTTTGTTCCCCCCATCAAAAACATCTCTCTCTCTCTCTCTCTCTCTGAACATTTCCCCTTCTCTCTGCAAAAACTTCATATCCCATTCTCTCTCATTCTTTTTTTCTCTCTGCAAAAACTTCATATCCCCTTCTCTCTTTTTTTTCTTTCTTTCTCTCTGCAAAAACTTCATATGAGTTGAGTGTGCCTTTCAGAGATCAGAATGGAAATGGCTTATCCTATTGTCTTAGATATGGATTGGGTTGGAGGTTCTTTCGGTATAGAGAATATCCTGAACTTCTCCAACGAAGAAATGGCCCAGCTCTGTGAATATGATGAAGAAGCGGTAGAGAGAGAAACAACCCAACAACAACAAGGTACTACTCCCTCTCCGAACTCAGCCCAAAGTTCCGGCGAACCCATCTTTCCGCCGGTGGAGTTGTTGCAGGCGGAGAGCGGCCCGCAGAAGCCGTGGAGGCGGCCGAGGAGCAAGCGGCCGAGGCCAGCACCTCGAGTGTGGACGCTCTCCCCGCAGGAAATAGGGTCGCCGGGAAAAGGGTTTCCGGCGAAGAAGTGGCCGGAAAGAGAGGCTCCGGCGAGGAGGTGCAGCCATTGTTTGGTGGAGAAGACACCTCAATGGCGGATGGGGCCTATGGGGCCAAGAACGCTCTGTAACGCGTGCGGCGTCCGTTACAAATCGGGGCGTTTGTTTCCTGAATATCGGCCGGCCGCGAGCCCAACCTTTAGGCTGGACCTGCATTCCAACAGTCATAGAAAAGTTTTGGAGATGAGGAGAGGGAACACCAATAATGTCCTTGTTAACTGAATTAATGTCCTCTTTAACCTAGCCTTTTATTTTTTTTATTTTTACTTAGAGGAAAATTAGGCACATTGGTGTGTGGTGATTGTTTTTTCTCACTATCTAAAATTTTTATCTCTCTCTCTTCTTCTATCTTATGTCTCATTCCCATCTCTCCATTATTTTTATTTTTATTTTTTTTCTTGGAGCGTTATATGAAGGTCCGTTATTTTGTTACGGAGGGGCGGAATGCGTTATGTCGGAAAGGGAAAACGGTGAGGCGGATAACGGGTAGAAGATGAGGAATAAAATAAATGATTCAAAATGAAAGCAAAGAGCCCACTTGGTCGGTTTGATTAACCAAACATGACAGTTGGCACCCACCCACTATCGTTTCCCAACCCCCTTTATTTTGTCGTGAAGGAACGATAACATGTATTTTTTTCGAAAATTCAAAATTGATGGGACTTTCACCCGCCGCCCTCTTTTGACGCCTGCCATTTAATCCGCTTTTAGGCGAATATGAAAGATACTACAAAACGCCCCAATGAACAATAATTTGTAAACCTTCATCACCATCTAATCACTGTTTGTTTGGTGGTATTTTAATTTTTATTTATTTTTATTAATTAGAATGATCTTAAATGAAATGTGTGTTGTGTACATCTTAGTGATATGTATTTAATAAAAATATAAACAAATAATTTATAAACTATAAAGAGTGCAGTTTGTATAGAGTCTAGGTTCTAAACAATCAAATTAGAGTCTAATTTAAAATAGTGTCGAGCAATAATATTGGAAATCTTTGTGATAGGTTAAAAATATTTTTTTATATTTATTTATAAAGTTTAAAACTCCAAAAATAATGTAGATTGATATATCTATGAAAATTTTGAAAATTGACAGTCCAAAAATGCATTACAAAATATACTATTTCTATAACTTGAAATTTGATGTCGATATGCTCAATATGAAAATATTTGGGCAACCAAACAATCTTTTCTAGTGAAATTTTTGAGGTAGGCTCAAATTTTATTATTTAGAGCCTCGGCTCTATATAAATTTTTCTCAAATACAAATTGATCAAAATACATTCGAAAAATAATTTATACAATATAAATTGATCAAAATACCCTCTCAAAATTTTAGGGGTATTTTGGATAATTTAAATTTTACGAATTATTTTTTTCATATTTTTATTAGGTGCGCATCACTAAGACATACACACATTCCAAATTTCAAGGAATTTGGATTTGTAGAAAAAAAAATAAAAATTGGAACACGACCAAACAACTGTGGCCGTGAAGTTTGGATGGTAATTAGGGTAGGCGAGATCACAATTCATTTTCGACTATAGGTGTTGGGAAGAGTTTTACTACATATTTTATAGAGCCTAGGCTCTAAACAATCCAATTAGAGCCTACTTTCAAATAGTGTCGAAGAATTCAAATAGTATCGAAGAATGTGGTTTCGATACTGGAATTTTTTTTGATAGCCTTAAAATTCATTTTCATATTTATTTATAAAGTTTAAAGCTTCAAAAATAGTGTAGATTGAGATATCTATGAAAATCTTTAAAATTGATGGTCCAAAAATGCGTTACAAAATACACTATTTCCAAAACTTGAAATCCATTTTTGTTCTCATGTCCGTGCATCTTGATGTCTAGATGATCAATTTGAGGATATTTAGGCATCAAAACAACCTCTTCTAATGAAAATTTTGAGGTAGGCTCGAATTTGATTATTTAGAGCCTCTTTATCTGTCTCTTTATATATATATATATATATATATATATTTGGCAAGTGTTATGGTGCTTCCTAGGGATCACACTTTAGATTTACTTATTTGGATAAAATGTCGTTTAGTAGTAATTTCGAGATCATAAATTAGGGTGTGATTTGTATAAGGTTACACCCTTAAACAATTCAATTAAGGTGCACCTCTAAGTTTTATCATAAATGTAATTTTGATATCAAATTTTTTGAGAATAGCTTGAGAACCTATTTTCATCTCTAATTATAAAATTTTAAACTCTAAAAATAATTCAAATCAAGTAGATCTATAAATACATAAAAATCTTGAAAATAGACGGACTCAAAATCTTTTTTTCTTTTCATACTCATACATCTTAATGTCGAGCTGATCAATTAGAGGGTTTTCCAATATCTAAACAATCTTTTATGATGGATTTTTGAGGTGTATTTTTAATTTTATATTTCAAAGTTGCAACCTTATATAAACTTTTTCTCATAAATTATTTTTAGTCATTAGATGTAAAATTATGATTTGGCGTCTATCGCAAAGTTTGAAAAAAAAAACATTGACTCCTAAGTCAAGTTATTGACACATGGCAACCACCCAATTTAAAATTTAATAGATAATAGTGATAGTGATCTCTTTGTGTCATGGAAAGAAAATGGTTTCCTCGTCTACCTTTCTCCTACAAAGTCAAATTGTAGTATGTATAAAAAGTTTTTAAAAGAGATATCTAAATATTACACAATGACAATCATTTAATTTGAAATTTTATGGACAATAGTGATGGTGATCTTTTTGTGCCAAAGAAATGGTCTCTACGTATACTTTTCCTCCAAAGTCAAATTTTAATGTGTATAAAAAGTTTTAAAAAGAGAGATCTAAATGTTAAAGAACTCACAATTCAATTTTTTAAAAAAAGGTAATTGATTCTTAGGTGGACCCGTAATTTGAAACAAAAAATCCTTTCAAGAATAGGCCATCGAAACAAAAAATCATTTCAAGAATAGGACATCCACCCCATGGAGTATGTGCACAGTATGCTTTGTTTTACCCATGATGCAGACCTTACCGTGTATGTACAATTAATAATGTCATGAGTGAAAACATTTATTGCTCCCGCGGGAGCATTTTCCATTCTGAATTATGATAATGGACAAAAGTGGAAAACTCTAAAAAAAAAGACAAAAGTGAGAAAACTCTAAAAAAAAAGACAAAAGTGGAAAACTGTAAAAAGGAAAAATACATTTAGATATGTACACGGTTTCCATGAGTCTATATAGAAACAGTCCCCTCTTAAAAAAAAAATTTGAGATCATGAATATAGAAAAATAAATAAATTTTTAAAATTATAAGTAATAGCTTTATAAAGAAACCATCTAGACCATTAATTTCATATGTTTTCATGTGGAACGGCAGTTGCACCCATCTTTAAAATGAATGTTTTATACCTCGGGCAACATAAATATAGTTATACGTCCTTGAACAATTTTCTTTTAGATATGATTTATAGATCCAAATATTTTTAAAAAATTGTGGCATACTATGCATTCGACCCAAACTTTATAACCCCTTTCTTTTAAAATTGTGGTCATAATTAAGTATACAATTAGGAGGAAATTGATTTTAGGAGTAACTTGAAATTAAATTTCAACTGCAATTGGTTGGTGGGTTGTTTGGAATTAAACTTCAAAATTAGTAGGTGGGTAGGTAGGCCTCCAAGAGTTTAACTATGGATTAATTCCTACAATTATATTACGGGTGCGGTCTTTATAAGGTTGCAACCTTAAACAATCCAATTAAGGCGCATCTCCAAATTTTATCATAACATGTAATTTTGTTGTAAAAATTTCTTAAGATTATCTTAAAATCTGTTTTCATATCTAATTAGAAAGTTTTAATAGTTGAAATTAAAGAGATCTATAAACATATGAAAATCTTGAAAATGGACGGTCTAGATAATGTGTTGTAAGATGCATCATTTATGAGACTCAAAAACTTTTTTTTATATTCATACAACTCGATTTTTGAGGTGCATATGTACTTCTACATTTTAAGGTTGCAACCTTATAGAAGCTTTTCCCTTATATTATATATACGAGTAGATGAGGCGTTAAGTAGAGAAGAACGTTGTAACCATCAAAGGAAAGAGAGATCGGGAACCTAGAGTGATATCAAAGCAACAAAAATAAATAAATAAATAAAATGAGAAGTAGATGAAAGAGCACCAATATTTTAAACATGAATCTTTTACGTGAACCGGCTTTCCACTGTACCATCTTAATTGGCCTAATTGGTGAACCAACTGAAGGAAAAAAAAAATTTTGATAGGAAACAAAAACTTGTTACATAAAGCAATTTTCCCATCTATAATATGTTTGTTTGATGATTTAAATCATTAAAAAAAAAAAAAAAAAAGAACAACGTGTTACAGAAGATGAATAATCTATTTAGAGAAAGCATGCTGATTCGAAATTCTAATAGGGAATCAGCTAAGAGACTTACTAAATCCCATCTAGATTGAGTACTCCTGATCCAGATCTACATAAACAATTTATAGAACCTTAAACAACATATAAAGCTCAAAAACAGTGCTGCCTGCCATGTTATCTATAGTTTCATACCATGCAAGATTTCATGTTTCAAGAATTTTGGAATGCATGAAAGGGGTTGGGTCACGATGGCCTACACTTAGTTACCACCTTGTGGTTTTCAATCTCACTGACACCATCCACTAACACTTTCAAAAAGCTAACTCTTAATCTATTTGAAAAAACAAGTAGAAGCATGTCCTCCCCCATTGAATTATAGTCACGGACACCTTCAAAAAGCTAATTCTTAATCTATTTGAAAAAATGGGCGTGAAACTATCTTCCCCCATTGAATTACCCTCATTAATACTTCCAAAAAGCCAACTCCTGATCTATTTGAAAAAACGGATAGGGACCTATCTTGCCTTCCCCCAATAAATTAACCAAAAAAAAAAGAATTTTGGAATGTGGAATTAATTTGGAGGTATAGCTTTGCACTGGAAGTTTTGGATAGGATGGAGTACAATTATGAGTCCCACAAAGCCAATTAAGAGACAAAATTTTGAATTATTTGGATTTTTTCTCAGTTTAGCTTGTCACTGTCAAAATGGGTAGGGGCCAGTCTAGCCATACTAAATTACTATCACTGGCACCTTCAAAACCCATTTTTCAAAACCCATTTAATTATCCAAAAAAACAAATTTCTACTTAATTACAGAAAAAAAAAAAAAAAGGAATTTTGGAACGTGGGATTAAAAGTTTTGGATTAGATGGGAGTAAAATAGTGGTCCCACAAAGCCAATGAGGAGAGAGAAATTTGAAATATTGGGAAATTTTTACTATTGTTTTGCTTGTCAGATGCAA